GGGGGGGGGGTTGAGGCATCAACAGCAAGGGTCACTAGCCTGTGGAACTATGGGGGAGAGGACTGTTGGTTCCAACGTCGGTGTTTGGTAGAATTTTGAATGAGCACCCGTAGATTTCTGCCATGGCCGAATGGGGGGCGGCGGCCTCTCTTTCCAGATAGCGTGAACTGTCCGGAAGCGATGCTGCCCATCTGMCAGCTTCAACCAACGTCTTAATCCACCCGGCCTTTACACCTCCCGTGATACAATTTAAAACAGTTATAAAACAAATTTGTCCYAACTATGAATTTTGAATTCAAATTGTTGAAATTAAAAAAAAAATGTATTCGAAAACTTAGTGTTTATTATTCTAAATACTTCATGATAAATAACATTTTTTGTTTTATTTTCTGGCACATATAAAAAACAAGTGTTGTTGGTATTCTGACACGGAAACATTTAAAACAAATGATTTATTTTATTTCATTTATTTATTTAAATGGTTGCCATTCATTAAAAAAAAATATTATTACTTTTATTATTTAGCTTTTTTTGCTGGACAGATGGCGATATTGTAATTTCATCAACACCTCATCATATTYCCCTGACCCCGTAACTTTTTAAAATTTTTTCTTACATAAGAACCTTCCCCTGACAATTATAAACACAAAAATAAAAGTATAGTGAAATCGGTCCAGCCGTTCATGCCAACCAAGGGAAACAGGGCTCTATTTTATACATAGAGATATACACTACCTATATAAAATTATATTTTCATATTATGCATGAGATTAATTTAATGAAAAATGATAATTTTATTACTGCCATTATATTAATTTTTACTTACCGATATCACATGTAATCTCTATAATAAACCTAGAGTTATATTAACGCTTTGTATTTTTTTTATGATATGAATTTGGATATTAAATTATTGAAAAACTATCAAAATTATAATATTTATATTTATTATTTTGATTTTAGAATCAAAAATGTTTCTGTAAAGTATATCGGTCTGAATCCCCAAGACACGATTGTCGATATGAGAAACAACAATGTTGAGTACGACGAATTAGGACCTATTGAGTACTCCGGTATGACGTCTGACGGGTCTTTGGTGATGGGCATTGCGCCATTTATACCAACAGTTTCTGATATCACTGCTGATCCTATTCTATCATGGACAGTTCCTAAAAATATGTCTCTTGAAGAAGCATCGACCATTCCGGTGCCATATTCAATGGTAAGCATTATGTCTGTTCGCAGTGAATTGTTATAATTATAATAATATTATTTACGATCATTATTATCATCGGTTTTATATTATTATATATTAAATATATCATTAAACTGTTTGTACATTTTATATCGATCCATTTCAGGCGTATTACATGTTGATCGTAATTAGTAAGATAACCAAAGAGCATTCTGTRTTAGTACATTCTGGATTAACTGCTGTAGGCCGGTCAGCCATAGATATATGTATAGAAAAAAAATGTCAAGTTTATGTCACCGTATCAGATTCCAGACAAATGGAACTGTTAAAACAGAGATTCCCGTTGGTACGTGATTATACGCTGAAAAGCATCGCATCGTAGAATTTAAAATTCACATTGATTTGATAAATTACGCGTATGATTTATAGCTTCCACATTCAAACGTAATAATTTACGACAAAGAAAATTTCGAAATTAAATTCCTCATGGCGAACAATAAAATGAACGTAATCATAAACTGCCTGGAAGGAGAAGATTTTCACGCTACTGTTCGAGTAATTGCAGATCATGGACATTTTTTCCAACTGACCAAAAGTGACATGAAAAAGAAATATAAAATGGGTACATAAATATTATATAATAGTATTCAAACGTGTCTATAAATATTAAATTCAACTATAATGTTATCTCTGTTTGTTTCAAAAAGGTATGTGGGCATTTATGAATGCTTTATCGTTCTTTTCTATCGGTATGGGTAAATTAATGGCAGAATGTGAAGAAACAAAGCAGGCCATTAAACAATTAATCGAACAAGGCTTACAGAAYGGTACGATCAAACCATTTGATCGGCATGTACTGACCGGAGCATGCACGGGAACCCAAGCTCTTGAGACCCTCGAGTGAGATAGCAATAATTTGTTAATCATATTTATGGTACAATATTCATAAGTTCTTATTTGTTTAACGTCACGACGTGTTGTAGGAAATTGACTCGAGAAAACGAATTTAAACGCGTCGTGATATCCACGTCGAAAGCCAACAACGTCAAAAACGAGATTCACCAATTCCAGTGCTGTCCGGACAAAGTGTATTTTGTAATCGGTAAATCCAAATCCATTATCGATAATACCTGATATTTTTATACCTATGTAAATTATGTTTAGGAAACGCATGTGACGATTGGTTGTGTTTGGTGGAATGGTTGGCGCAACGAGGTGCGTTAAAAGTAGTCGTGGGTTTGGAAACTCATTCACTGACGCCGTCAGTTTCGCGGAAATTCAACATCTTTCTTGATCGTTATAAGGGGATCACCGTGCAATTGGTGTCACAATCACTGTTGGACACCGAACAATCGGCTCGCGATTTATTGAACAGTTCGATAACAATATATCMATTGGCTGCGGTATTCTTCGTGAGTGGTGTAAGTCATCAATATTTGAGCTTAAAGTGCAAAAAGAGACTGAGTAGGTAGTGATTCGTTTGCCGTTTCTAAAAATCGCTCTGTCTAAATTTCATGACATTGGCCCATGGATATATTCAATATAACATTAGTCCTATATTAAAAATGTACACCATAATCGTATTTATCATAATTTTAGTTATTTTCTGAACTTAATTTAAAATAGTAGATGTAATGTACTAGTGAAGTGTAGGTTTATTATTTTCTAAATGACGAGTACAAAGGTRATGAAGGTATATTATAGATGTATAGTCAATGAATTATACTACCAACGGTATRTGTTTTGCATGAATAATTTAATAGATATCGTGCAATTTGGACACTTTTTACTTCTACATTTTTAGTATGAGATTCGAACGCACAAACCCTTACCAATTATTTATCCCAGATCACCATGAAGTTTTATAATATGTGGTTGAAAATTTGATGTTTCAAAGGTGAAGGAAAAAATGATTGAAAACATGCGATTGGCAATGGATCAAATCACAGAACACAATAGGAAAACGCTGTTCGCGTGCTTATTCTGCGGTGGGGCAAAAACGTGTGACCGATTAAAGTCAACTGGCATCAACGCGCTGTGCTTATCATGGGGTCAGAACGGTGACAAACCCAAGCTAAGAAAAATCATACCCATACTGGAGAATTTAATTCTGAAATCCGACACGCTCACTAATGCTGTAGTCGTGTGCTCGGAACACGTAGCTGAAAAATTKACAAGTATGATAATAATATTTAATTTATTTATATTTTATTACTCAACGGACCATAGGCCCGGTTAACTTTTAATTTACATGTCATACATATTAATTACAAACTTTCAAATCAAATTAACATAGAGAAAACAATTTTAATTAAAGTGAAAATAAAAAAGGAGAATGCCATCGGCTCAGAAACCATAGATCTTTAAGATAAACTTTACTAATAATAATATTATCTCAAGGCTGTTGACTTAACCAACCAATAACTGTTAATAAGATTAATCTTCTATATTTAATTTACGATTATRATACATCATTTAATGTGACAAAATGTTGACACGTTCGTTTTATTATTAGCATTCATTATTTATTATATAATTATAGGTACTGCACTTTATTCAATCATACGATGTACATCGTACCTWCATATTTATGAATCTATAGATTTTAGTAGGTTATGTACATACCTACATTTATTTAAATATTTTTTGATTTAAGATTCCAAAGTGCTGCAGAAAGACCACAACAACATGTTTTTACCAAGTACCATCGACGAATTGGAACATAATTCAAAGTACATAGTTGTCGGTAATCCGGACTTTGTGGAAGTGACTACCAAAAGCGTATTGTACGCCGACGCCAAAGGAGCGTATCCCATATTCGTTTTACCAGGTTTCCAACCCAGCTGCATGACAAACTTGTACAACAACCTGGGATACCCGACTTTCGAGGCCCGATACCCATCTAAATTTGAATCAATCAATAGCGTTGCCAGCGATCTCGTAAAAGTGAGATTCTATAGCCTGGTCTACTAATCAAACTATCCCTATTAACCTCAGGTTTTTGAACTTGGGAAAAAAATGATAAATATTCCTGGCTTAATTAATTATGAAAAAATATTTCATGTTCGATATTGCCTACCAGAAAAAATTACAAATTAAAGAAAAATTAATATATTTTACTTGGTAGTTGGAAGACATATACTTAACCTGACAAAAAAAAAGCTTCTATTATAGGTAGCTATCATCAAACTGATTTGAAAATATGTCGTAAGTACAACAGTAGGGTTGCGATAGTACAAATATACAACATCCAATTTTGTCGTAGTTATTTTGTAAAAATATTGCCATTTGTAAGCACCATTGTCAAAGCATATGTCAAATATCGTTCATTATTATTCTTATCATTATTATTACTATCAATATCATTCGTTGTGATCTGAAGATACATCTGCCCATGATGAAATCAAAAAGTTCATATTAAAAGACTAGAGTTGCACACTAACGCAATTACTAAACAACTTCTCGAAAACTCGTAAGATGTTAGGTTYCTTGAAAATGTTAAGTCCTATGATTTAATTTAAACGTTTTAGACTAAGAAAAGGGGTGATCTCGTGCGAAGTATAATTCCCAAATATTTCTCGATTACTATACATATACCTATAYACGTATGGTATTGGTATATATACATTACTCACTCAATACAAAATGGTGTAAAMATTGTATTCATAAAGACAAATCTTCTTTAAAATACTAATGTTACTTAAAGTAATTAAATATCGTATATAAATATATTTATAAATCTACCRAATTTTTAACGTTAATATTCATATTTTATCGATTATAATACGAGTAAAYTTAGCTAAATCTTGACGTCATAGGTAGTTATTTACTTTATTCATATCAAGGTTATTTATAATAGCGATACATTTATATTGTACRTAAAACACTCTTTTTGCAAAGTTTTGATCAGTAACCTTGGTTTACCGCCTTATCTTCCTATGATGAATGATGATATTATGTGTATTTCAGAAACTTAGACAAATAACCGAACACCGCGCAGTCACTCTGATCGGAGAATCTTGGGGTGGTGCAGTTGCTCTGATAATGGCTCAAATATTGGAAAATGAAGGCATTTTGGTATCGCTGTCGCTGTTGAACGGAGTACCAAGCACCCTTCTCAGTTGGACCAACAAAAATTTCCTTATTGACGACAGCATAAACGCGTCGTTGCTTTCGAGATACTTTTCGATCGACTGTGAGGTACAAACCCGATCGACCACCAACCTRATTCTCTTCATACGACTTTTAAATGGCTTATTCTAATCTATTTTTTTTTTTTATCTCGACGAATAACAGACGGCCAAAAGATTTTCATCTCAACATGAATGGGACAAGAACATTATCCAGCTACTCCAATCGAACGAGATCACGGCTACTCGTGAAGTGAACAGCTCGTTAAACATGATACAAACACAACTCGACACGTTGATTAAACTGAAACCATTATCCAATAAACTACTATCGATACCCCAAATATTCGTATCTAACGAGCTATCCGACACGACTTTGGATGCCTTAAATAAAGTGAGTCGCTTTAATATTATCAAACATATGGGTCATGAATTATAATAATGTCCTATGACTGAGATAATAATGATTATGTTGTTCATGATACGGATATATCATTTTTATCTTATTGTTAATTTAACTTATATGTATAGTGCGATATTTTTGTAATATTGTTTGTTGTTCTTCTTTAGTTTTGCATCAACCAGCCTGTTATTCACATTGTCGCTGAAGCAAACTGTAGAAATATGTTAAAAAACTCAAATGTTATCAAAACGATCAATGAAAACGTAGCGTTTGATTACCCACACAGCTCAATATTGTCTTTGGATGACAAATATAGTCGACACTATTATAGTACCGAAGTTTCATTAGTGTGTTAACAAATATTTTATTTTTCAAATAGTTATTGATTCAAGTGCCAATTATTTGTCAGTGAATTTGATACGTTTGAAYGATGATATACTATTTAATATTGTTTATTTATTATCGAAATAAAACATTTCGTATTTTAGAGTCAATGAAATTTTTTTAATCCTTGTTATTATTATTATTATTTTTTTTTTTTTGATATAGACAGAATATTATATAAGTAAGAATTTACTTAGATAATAGGTATTTTGAAAATCTAGAAACTGTATTTGTTAACGCAATAAGTAAAAAAGATAACTGACATACACAATTATAAAGAACAACGCATGAGACACAAGATGAGGGAAGTCATTCAGCGAAAACATTTGAATATCACAATATTAAGAATATTAAGAATATAATAATATGGTTACAATTTCTATAAAAAAAAACTTTCACCCTGTAAAAATGTTTAAAAATCGAAAACAAGATTCCTCGTAAGATTTTCGTCTATTAATTAAAAAAGCGGTTAAGTGGGTGACGCTCTGCTGTAYAGTAGGTTAGTTAAACAAGTAGTCAGTAGGTTACAGATMGTTATAATGTATGGCTTATAATTTTAGTTCAATTATATAATATTATCATTGTATATGAAAAACGATTCTAAGTGGTGAAGTTTTGTCAGCCTAGGATATTTTATATTATATTTATATTGTTATTACTACTGTAGCCGGTTGGTTGAATTAATATTGTTTGAATGTTGTCATATTTGTAAAAAATAATATATTTTAGAAGTTTCAAGTAACCACGAATAATATTTTTTAATTATAGCAATATAAATAAAACCATTATTCTTGGTTATTTAATATGTAATTTCTAWTTTCGTTCAAATTTAAACTTAAAATAACTATATTTATATTATTTGGACGGTGATGAATTTAAACTTGTATAAATTGTATAATCACATTTTTTTTTWAATTACTGTTAACTATTATATCAAGACCCTATCAAATCTCTCAGTAACTGCGGCTTGTCTTGCCTTCTCAGATATTAAAACAAATTTGAACACAATACTGCATAAACTAGAAATCAGTGAATGCCATGCTACGACAACATTTAAATTACAAATTAAGCTTATACGTTAGTGTTAGATTTGTACTAATGTATAATTTGAAATTTAATTATTCATATTATATTAATAAACATGATTTATGTTTGCTGTATCCATCGCTAACTATTATTGTAGTCAGCATTTACGTGTTCTCAATTACAAAGAAATTATGCATATCAAGGACATTACAGTATAAAAAAAAAAACCCCACCACGTGTAATACCTCATACTTTTAAATATCATGGACGATGTAATATTATTTCGTATATCAATAATGAATTGTGATGATGAAAATTACATAGCCATTATGCCATCYTTCCAAACCATTATTGGTAAGAGCTAATCCCTACATTGCAATCTCGTAGAGATTCCACTATTGTGGTTAAAATTTTGGCATTCGTCTTATCCGTCTCGTCGACCTTCCTTCAAAATTAAAATTTTCAAAAATTAGTAAAATATTAAACATTATATATATATATATATATATGTATATCAGGTATATGTACATAGTTATAATATACCTATAACCTATCAATAAAATTATCTTCAAAATAGTCTACACTGGCAAAATAGATTCAGGTAAATAGTCTACAAGTACTCCAAATGTATTGGCTACATCCTGTTGTGGTACAAAAGCCAACGCCGCCAAAATTTTCTCATTAACTGCAAAGCCAACATCTATTGAATATGGTATTGTCTGTGAATATTCTTGTTGAATTTTGTAACACAAACATTGGGAAATTTGGAAAAAAAACAGGCAGTTATTTGACATGAATGATAAACAGATGTAAATACATTAAAATAGCTGCTGATTCCAAATGTAACACTATATTCAAATTTGTTAAATTGCGTGTAAACAATGTGTTTAAACAGGAAAAATATCTAAAAAGTATAAATATATTAATTTTTTTTCACATTTAATTTTTATTAATTARTTATAAATTGTTACTTAGTATATGCTTCTTCAGTCATACGTGTCATTTATATAAAGGCACCTGCTATTAGATAATTGTTTCCTATTTCTGCATGTAAGTTGTACAATTGCTTGAAAATAAGTGGTGTTGTTTTAAATGTACCATCTGCATGCCAATGCGTTGACATAGCAGTGCACGAAGTCCAGTCATTGATCCTACAATTATGAATATTTGGTCATCATTTACACMAGAATCATGAAGAATAAATTGTGATCCATCAGGTATTATTAAATCTCTATTATGCTGGTTGTACAAAATGGATGYCAAATAAGCTTCACCRATAATTTGTGGATTGGAATTGACTCCGAGTGTTGCATTTTTCATCATTTTGGTTGTAGCTTCCAGTGCAATAACTTTTGCTAAATTTGGAGCATGACTGTGTATTTTTTTTTTTGAATGAAATATTATTTATCGAGAATCTATGTTTGTGTACAGGAGAATCATCTTTTCATTCACATCTCCATTTTTTCCAAGTTTAATTTACGAAAAAATAAAAATAAACTAAGCATATACAAATTTTATACTTTATATTTATATAATTTTACTTACTTTTTCGTTATGCGATTTGTCTATAATGTAGCAATAATTACTATCGTCCACCAATTTAGGTTTCGATCTAATTGTTATTGAATTCATAGTTCATAAGAGTTAAGAAATATTAAAATTAACATAGTGTTTAACAAATATGGAACGTGGAACCGTTTGATTTCTACTTGATCACCAATAATACATTGTAACTTTAAAAACATATTTGGTTATTAGTTATTACGGTTTGACTGAAAGTTGTCGTTATACCTAACTTTATCAGACAAATAACAACGTTATGATMGAAAATACAATTAAAGATAAAACCTGCGATCGTACGATCCCCAATTCCCCATCGATAACGTATTCAATTACGAACAAACTCTGTGTTACGTTTATTTGAAGATTTRTCTTTAATGCATTTTCGCCGATATACACTTTCGCCTAAATTACTTTTGTGGAGATGTCTTAAATTCTAGTAAAGAGCGTTGATTGGAGAAAATGTAGAAAAATATCACAACAAGCCATTAACTATTTTAACACATCTTTATACGTTTTATTTATTCACCCAATTTAGTTAGAATTAGCTGGGTTGTTAGGTAGAATAACCCATCACAAATCTATCTAAACGGCATCCATTAAAACAAAAATACGAATATTAAATATGTTAATATGGAAATGTATAATAAATACTAATGTTTGATAAGAATATGTGATAAGAATAAGGACAATATTTTAATTGTAATTAGAAAGTTAAATTAAAAATGAAATTAGAATAATAGTTATATTGTATAAATGTTTTTTAACAGGTACCTAATTGCTTTTATGGGTCAATAATATGGCTAGCCAAAGTGGGTTAATAAATATAGAATGTATTCCGTTTTAACAGCAATGTGCATTTTAATATAATTTTTTTTGTTTTATTTAAAGAAAAAACAGTCCACGGCAACTATGGCCATTGAACGCAATATTAAATGTATACTATTAATTATTATTATATACATACGCCAAATTTCAATGTTACATGCCTGGTAAATCAAGTGAATTTAAGAATCCCGTTGGATATTTTACAACTTCGTCTAGATTAATTACGGTATCGTTGGACTGGTACGTTATCGTGTCACCTGGAATTTCGTTTAGAATGGTGATATTGATTGTATTTACATCATAGTTTGTGGATGCTGATATAGCCCGTGAACTGATCCACTGAAGCTATCTGTAATTTTTAGTAGGTTTGAGAAAACTTTGTCAATAAACTCATTGGTCGTTTCTGTTAATTTTTAGAGATTTGTTGGCAATGTGGWGCATTGTGTCGATTCATCGATCRCTAGTTTCTCATTCCCTATTTCTAACAATTGTTTTGCGAAACTATCRGCTGATGCATAATTTTGTAGATATACACGCATATATTTCATATCGGTTCCCAATCTTGTATCTCGTTGCTTTGCTCAGTTGTTTCAGATGAATAGAATTGAACTTGACGTTCTTTGGTGGTTCCCAATCGTGCATCAATTGTTTCTGAAACTCGTATAGCCATTTTTTTTCTTAAAAAAATGTATAAATATTTAACTCTTCTTCTACAATATTGTAGGCTTTGATATATTATTTATAATAAATTAAATATAATACTTTCATGTTTTCATATTTTTCATAACATCTAATGAAATAAATTCATAAAAATACACTGTAAATGTTAAAACATTCCTTATTTAAATATCAAAAATAATTTTAAAATATCGATGGATATGACTCTGAAAATGGTTCATCAATAATAGGTATATTACTTTCATATTAGAAAGTATGAAATATACATAATTAAACSATTTAAGAGATAATGTTAATATGTAGGTACAACGTCTTGAATGTAACGTTAAATAATGAACGTCATAATTTGTATATAAAAATTAATCATTTTTTTCGGTTTATTCAATTGGAATTCTGATCAAGGAATAAATTAATACCTTATAGATTATGCCATCTTCCAAACTTTATGACTGGTGTTTGGAATTACAATTGATTTATAAATATAATCGAATAGGTATAAGTTAGTTTGGGTTTTCGAATCATTATTGTTTTATATAGCACTATGTCATTATAATCGAAATTACAATGTTCCACGAATATTATTTTGTTATGTATATATTGATTATCTTTGTTATATTTTGATAATTTTTAAGCTATCATAGTTACACTAGAAGCTATAAATAATAATAATAAAAAAAGTATAAGTTATGGTCTATATCTTTTTAAAATAAGGAATAAAAAAATTAATATTATTCTAAACATTTAACTAAAAAAAAAAAAAAATGATTTTATATAAAAAATTCCTATACCTTATGTTGTTATTATATTTGTGTCTAATGATAAATACATACTTTAGAACTTTTTAAACATTTAACTGTTCACGCATCTGTATTTAAATACCAAAAAAATATCTTTTCACAACTTTTTTATTAAGTTAAGATTTCAACATTTGAGGTCTTCAGGCTGCATCAGATATGATTTTTTTTACTTTCTTATTTTATTTTTTAATCTTAGGCAGTACTAACTACTAATATTTAATATTTTAGTAATTGTTATTTACAGATATTAAAATWAAAWAATTATAAGTTACTTCGCAGTGTTGTAAAAGACATTTTTAATACCTATTGTATTTAAATACAGATACAAAAATATCTATTCAGGAAGTTTTTTAAATACTTTTTTATTTTACTTTTCTACTATTCGATTTGCAAAATTAATTTTGTAATTACCTAATTTATTATCATGTTAAATTCAATTAAGTGTTTTAAAAACTTTTAAGGAAAAAATCGTGTACTAAAAAATGAAAATAAATTAAACTTTTTATGTTATATATGTATTATAAATCACAAAGATGTAGAGAGCATTTTGTTTGATAGTTTTAATTTACCGATTTGTAAAATTTCTAATGGTTAGGGTAGCGGGTAGTGTTTCATACTATTTATGTTTTGAATTATAATTATAATATTGAAATAATTTGGAAATAAGTTTTTATGTTATATATGTTTCTATTGTTTCGAAAAAATAATTTATTTCCAATAAGAAACCAACAATGCCAGTGATGATCCTTGTGAGATCAAAATGAATCTGAAGTTGATAAATTGTTTCATTATATTTATCATATAGAGGTGCAGAGGTATTTTTCTAAATCCATCAACAGGGTGTTATGTTTTTTTCTGGTTTGATGATTGGAAATTATTATACATTTTTTCTATTTGTATGGTATTGCTACTATTCTCCGTATCATGTTTGATCGTTAATTAAGTGATTTTAGCAATGTTTCTGAAGTTGTGATTGTAAATTCAGCAGTATAGTTTTTATTGAATTTAATGAGTATATTTTCTTAATATGTTGTACTTATATTCACAATACAGTTTTGCTTGTAAATCTTGTTACTGAAATTGTGATTTTTATAATTGTGTCCCCTATATGATGCATAAATAGAAAAATTACCTAAAAGTAATTTAATTGCCTACCTAACGTCCAAATAATATTTATAAAAATACCATAACCTACGATTTTTATCCAGATTAATTTAAAACAATTTTTCAAAGATAGTATATTAATTTCTTTCAACTTTAACATCGCAAACGCATAATTATTTAATAGACTTCCTTGAAGTCAGTAAAGTATAAGACATTGTGATAAACATTAAAAATAAAAACTGTTTATTTTTTAACTTCAACAGACTAAATAATTGTACCCAATACAATGATAATACATTTCATGAAAATCTTATGTAGGTACCTATATATTAAATATCAAACGCKATGGGTTTATTTGTTTATTTTTGTTTAAAGATTTAAAGTTGAAGCGAGTGACTAATTTGAGAATTCTCTAGATCCTCAGAAATGTTGATCGTAAATAATAATACATTCTCGATATCCTGAATGGATTAAATTAGTATAAATAATTAACTATACCGACGCCATATTGATGTTTGGTTCTACTTTTAAAAAATGTTCATTGTTTAGCAATTAAATATTTGTATGCCACTAGCAAAACATGGCCTATATATTCGCCAAGTATAGCATGTAATTTACATGTTAACCTTTGTACCTACATGATTTTTAATGAAACTAATTTAATGAGCTGATTAACAAACGTTTTGTTCTCGTATTACAATAATCCGAATATTTTTGATTGGAATAAATACAACAAAAATCTCGAAATCGATAGTCAGTGTGATTTTGGTTGAGTAGTTRAAAGCTGCAGATAAAGGATCCATGACAATCTATACTCAGGTAATAATTTGATATATTATTGCAGTATCGTAGCATTGTATTCATTTTTATTTTTTACTCTAAAATGACGGAATTTTAGTAGTAACACGTTTGATTTATTATATATATATATATTTATTCATATTAACACAGGGCTAAAAATTAAGTGTCATATATACGCTATTCATTTCGAAATTCATGATTATTTTTATTTATATTTGCGTGTTTTAGCTCAAAAAAATATTGCGCATATTCAAAATGGTGTAGAAATATTTTTATAAATCAAAAGTTACTCTGTTATATGTTCCATTTTTCTTAAATCACACAACATCACAGAACACACTATTTTTGAAATATATCCTGTTCATCCGACACGCATAATGATTTTCGTYACAACAGTTAAAAATTATTACCATTGGTGATTAAAACAAAAATTATAATACCTAATTACCCGATAAATGATTTTGATATATTCGTAAACACCTATATCACTATAGGTATACGTATTGTGTTTTATTGATTTATTTATAGTATATAAGTATAACTAATAATTATCATAGTATAATAGTATTTAATTATAACAAATAATTAAGCCTAAACTATTATTTTATACGTCTATTCAACTGTTATGCGCAGTAATCATCATTTATTGTTTCGGGGCCATATTATATTGGTAAATGCTGTGTTTTTATTTTGGAACTATATGTTTGTAATTTTCAACTTCAGTAGCTTTTTCGGTAAGAAGTTAATCTAGTTGGCGCATTGAGGAGGTTAGAATTTTAAATTATTTGTAGCTTATCAAAAGTGACGGAAAAATTTTTAAAAACTTAAGGAAAAACGGGAAATTTATACGAGTATATTGACGTAACTCTAAAAAAWTTAGTGTAGATACATRAAATTTGCACTGAATTTTTATATTAGCATTTTCCACACTTGATAAAATATTTCAAATCTTTTTAAGTCATTTATAGACATTTGAAATTGTTCGTTTTTTATTCTGTAAATGTCAATAAAATTATTTTATTCGTTGGGTCAAAAAGCTTGATGATATAATATAAGGGTCCTCATAAGTTTATATAATAACAGTTGGAAAATATTAAAAATACACAGGCAACATTTTTTTTATAACCACTTAAAGTTAAAATTTATTAAATTTATTACTTGAAAAATATCTAGTTGTTAAACTCAAGTAAATTTCAACTAATGAGTTGATTTATTATTATTATTATTTTTTTTATTATATTATATATATAATATTATTATAATCTTTTTAAAACCACCTAAAACCCATATATTGTGCACTTTTCAAAACACGTGTTTAGTATAGTTCAAATATATAGGATCTCGTACAGCTGATACGTGGTTTATATCTTACTCAGTAAATTTTTCACAGGTTCTGTTGATTCATTTTCTCTTCTAACACTAAAGAACTTAAGGGTTCCCTTTTGATCCACCCTCATCAGTGTTTAGAGTTGTATGGTTTCTAGGATTACATCATTAGTTATTTAAAATACGAACTTATTTACTTAAGTATTTAAGTTGTTTTTTGGTTTTTGAAAAATGTTTATGTTAATTTTTTATTATTATACCATATATTTTAACTTAACCCCCGTTTGTATTTAATAAAATAAATTATATATAATCGACCATTGATAGAATAACAACGAATAATTAATTGAATAGTGTATGCACGTTACCGAAGTAAATAACAAGGAATTCAATACAATGGCAGAACACAAAGAAGAAGTTGTAATATCAGGTATAGGTGGATTGTTTCCAGAAAGCAATAACTTAACTGAATTAAGCGATTTGTTATTCAACAAGATAAATGGAGTAACAATCGATGGGAGAAGATGGAAACCAGGTAATTATGAATGTTATCTACAATGCTGAATTTTATTTAATTAAAAAGGTAACATTTTTTTTTCATAGATAAATTAGGCGCAATAAGTAGTACTGGAAAAATTAAAAATATCAATAAATTTGATGCCACATTCTTTAGTGTTCATCCAAAACTTTCCAAAGTTATGGATGTAATGACAAAACTATGCTTAGAAAGATCAATTGAAGCAATTATCGATGCTGGTTTGAGTCCATCAGACTTGCATGGAACAAATACAGGAGTATTTATGGGATCTTCAATTAGTGAAACGGAAAAGATAGCAATGATTAACGATTCATCTACAGGATTTGTAATGTTAGGTGTAAGTAGAGCAATGCAAGCAAACCGGCTTTCTTTCATACTCAATTTAACAGGTAGAAATCTTTTAATACAATAAATAAGTCACTTTTGAAATTGTAAATAATATGTTATCAATAAAATTTAGGACCGAGTTTTTGCATGGATGGAGGATGGATTTGTGGATCCAATGGTTTGAAAAAAGCCAAAGAAATGATTGAAAATGGTTTCATATCATCTGCAATTGTGGGTGTTACGAATSTGACTCTTCGACCAGAATTACAATTCTTATCTCAAGGTTTGAATAGATTAACCAAAAGTGATCAAACTAARTCATTCAGTTCTGATGGTAAATATATATTTTAAGGCAATCAATTCAAAATAATATTGATCATTATATTATTCCAATGTATGAACTTGTATTTTTAAATCACAATCAAATATTAGATGTTTAAATAAATAAAAATATACGGCATCAATTTCTCTTATCATTTAGAGATTAAATATATAAATTAAAAGATATCATACCTAAACTTTTTCAAAGTTTGAGTAATTTAATGCGTTAACTAATTATCAACCACAAATATTTATTTTACTCAGTAAATAATATGACGACGTTAATTTAGCTGATGGATATAACAGATCAGAGGCTTGTATTGTTTTGTATCTTCAAAAAGCTTCTGAAGCTAAACGTTCATACGGAACATTATTAAAYGTCAAATCGGTGCAATTTGGTAATCATGATGGAACAATAACCGAKCAYGATAGAAATCACTTTAAATCATTACTGTTAGATTCTTATAAAGAAGCTAATATAGATCCGGCTACAGTTGATTTCATAGAAGCTTATGGATCAGGGATTAAGGTGATACTAACCAAAAAAATATGTTAATGATTRATAATTAAATTTAKCACTAATGTTTACAGAACGAAGATGCTATGGAATTGAACATAATGGAAGAAGTATTTTGTACCGAAAACAGAAAGACACCTTTGAAAGTAGGTTCTGTGAAAAGYAACGTAGGTCACTGTGAAGTGTCTAGTCTATTTATGTCAATTGTAAAAGCAATCATAACGTTAGAAAGTGGAAACATACCACCCAACATAAATTACACTGAACCAAATGAAAATGTACCAGCGTTAAGAAATGGAAAAATTCAAGTAAACGTTATATTAATATCTATTTTACTGTACTCACTTTTTATTTTAAAAATATAAACGGATAAATAACTATCCACATGTATAGAAAACTTATTTTGTTAAATAAGTCTGTTATACTATTTCCATACTTTGAACAGATATAAATCTTGAATTTATGTTCTTCATCTAGGTAATCACTGAAAAAACTCCGTTTGTTGGCGATATTATCGGAATAAGTTCATTTGGGTTGATAAATGCATTTAGTCATGTAATTCTTAAAAGAAATAATATCGTTCATAACAAAATTGTAGACGTCCACAATCCTACMAATATGCCGCATTTAATATTAGTATCGGGRCGGAATGAAGAAAACGTCAGAGAAACATTAAGCAAGGTATTTATAAAATCGTTTTTTTAAATCAAAAGTTACAATTATGTATAATATTCTGATTATTAGATTAAAATGCACGGAAACAATGCAGAGTTTGTGTCATTGACTAATGACTTATTCACTAGAAACATAAATGCTCATTTYTTTAGAAGTTTTAACATTTTTCCRAATATGGACGAATCACGAAAAGATGATATCTGGGTAAAACTCATTGCGATTATTGTTAATTTATTTTRCATACTCCTAATATGGATTTTTTGACAAATTTTATTTTAAGAATGTTGGCATAAAACGTCCGGTATGGTTTATATTCTCCGGTATGGGATCACAATGGCAAGGAATGGGCACAGATCTAATGAAAATTCCAGTATTCGCTGACGCTATTAACAAATGTGATATTATTCTAAAACCACGAGGAGTTGATATCAAGAATATTTTAACCAGTCAAGATCCGAAACTTTTCGACAACATTCTTAATTCGTTTGTTGGAATTGCTGCAGTTCAGGTTTGGGTGAAACTAGTCATAAATACGTTCGGATGAAAGTATGAATTATCATATTTTTTAGATTGGATTAGTAGAAGTTTTGAGAGCATTAGACATTACACCCGATGGGATCATAGGCCACTCGGTCGGGGAATTGGGATGTGCCTACGCAGATGGTTGTTTTACAGCTGAAGAAATGATATTRGCTGCTTACGCTCGAGGTCGAGCTTCATTAGAAACAGACGTTATTCCTGGAATGATGGCCGCCATCGGTAATTTTTATAATAAACCACTAAAGTTTTTTAACTTTATTGTTGTTTTAACTTTTGTTTAGGACTTGGATATGGCCAAATTAAAGATAAACTTCCTCATGACATTGACGTYGCTTGTCGTAATAGTGCAACTAGCTGCACAATATCCGGTCCAGTTGAAAGCATCAATGAATTCGTATCACAATTAAAATCCGAAGGCGTCTTCGCAAAATCCGTCAATGTAGCTGGCATAGCATTTCACAGTAGATATATTCAATCCGCTGGCCCTACACTGCTAAAATATTTAAAAGATGTTTGTTTAAAAATTAAATTAAATTATTTTCATTTCAACAATGTTTGTATAACTTTTTTTTTATAGGTGATCAAAGTACCAAAAAAAAGGACTTCTAAGTGGGTTAGTAGTTCGTTGCCAGAATCTGAATGGGAGTCTGACCTCGCAAAATATTCTTCTCCAGAATATCATACCAACAATCTATTGAGTAGTGTGTTATTTGAAGA